CAGGCCCCGCTCCTCTCCCCTTCCCCTCGTCCGCCCAGCCCTTGCCCTGGAGGGCCCGGTCGTCCGCCCCCTTTCTCAGTTTGTTGGCCCGCCCGTGCCCACACAGGCAGCAACACAGCCCCCCTCGGCGGGGCTTGCCGGGGGTCCTGCCCGAGCGGCCTTCCGCCAGCTTCGAGCTGGGGGGGGCACCGGGCAACCCCTCCCCCTGGGGGGCCCAAGGTGGGGTGCCCTCGGCTCCGGCGTCGGGCGCTACGGCCGACCGGTCCCCGGCCCCGAGGGAGGGGGGTGGCTCCGTGGGCACAGCCCGCGATGGTATGAGGGCCGCGCCGCGGGGCTTGGCCAGCCGCGCCGCCCGACCGAGGGTGCGCGTCATCAAAATAAGGACGGAAGACCAGTGCAAACCCAAGGCGCATCAAGGATGTTGCAATAAAACCTCCACTCACGTCCCCCAATTTGGGCCTCCAAAAGAAAGCACTTTCATTGCGGATAGTGGCCCATTTGAAGACAAACGCTTGGGAACCCTCACTCTTGCCGAAACACAGGCTCTGGGGCTTCAGCGCCGTGGATAAGCATGATCTTTTCGTTCTAACAACCCTAAGTCGTGCCAGAGCACCGTTCCTGGAACCTCAGCAACGCGAATCCACTTTTTATTGATGCGTCCTGACAGTGCACGACATCATTCCTAGGATTCAGACCGTACAAGTCCATGGAACTGTTGCACAGTTACAAGACGAATGTGCGTGGCGCTAAGGCGAGAGCATCATTTTGACAAGGATCCGCCCCCCTCCTTGACGCTGCTGCAATATTCTAAAACAGCGCGCGCTGCGCGAAGGCGAGAACCACATTTTGGAAAGGAGCCGCTCTCTGCCCGTGAGGCTCTTTCGAGCCTTGAACCTGCATGCGCGCAACACTAATTCGAGAGTCACACGTTGAAAACGAATTTCTCATGTCAAGAACGTCGGTGCGCGGCGCGAAAGCGAGAACCACAGTTTGAAAACCACTTGCACTTCATCCTTGAAGCTGCTTCGACATATTATGGTGAATGTGTTCGGCGCGCTGAGGCGCAAACCACATGTTGAAAAACATGCGCCCCCCATCCGTGACATTGCTGTAAACAAAAATACAGTTGGCGAGGATGCTTCGGGCGAAGCGCCTGGCCCGCCCTACCGACCCGTCTCGGGGTGCGGCAGGGAGAATCTATTCATAAGGAACACTGATGGAGGATGGGGCGGAGGACGAGGAAGATGAGGAGGAGAAGGAGGAGGTGGAGGGGGGGAGGAGGAGAGGGAGGAGGAGGAGGAGGAGGAGGAGGAGGAGGAGGAGGTGGAGGGGGGGGGGAGGAGAGGAGGAGGAAGAGGAGGGAGAGGAAGGAGAGGAGGAGGAGGAGGAGGACCAGTGTGAACCCAAGGCCCGTCAATGATGTTGCAAGATACCCTCCATCCGATTCCCTTGTTATGATATGTCCCTACAAGGATTTGTACTCACGTGGGAGGTGACCCGTTGGAAGACACCCGGAGAATCTTCAAGCAATCCGAAGATTTATTCCTTGGACTTGACGCCACGAACCAAGGTCAGTGTTACGTCTTGATTGACCAGAATCGTGCCACACGCCATTCTTGGGACTTCAGCACCGCAAGTCAAGGTGACTGTCGCATCCGGACAATCACAATTCGTGTCAAAACACCATATTTGGGACGTCATCCGTAATAGTATGAAACTGTTGCAATGCATTTTAAGTCGAATGTGCGCAGCTCGAACGCGAACGCCACCTTTCGAAAAGGAGCCGCCCTCCATCGGTGAAACGAGTGCTAACTTCTACGACAATTGTACGCCACGCTCAGGCGAGAACCACATTTTGAAAAGGAGCCGCCCTGCATCCGTAAAGCTTTGGCAACTTTGAAGACGAATCCGCGCGGCGCTAAGGCGATACCCACATTTTGAGAAAGGGCCGCCCTCCATCTGGGAAGCTGTAGCAAACCCTAAGCTTCAGGATCCTAAACGGTGAGGCAGTCTCAGGCGAAACGCCTAGTCCGCCCTACCGACCGCTCTCGGGGTGTGGCAGGGAGGAGTTATCTATAAGGAAAAGGGATGGAGGAGGAGGAAGAGGAGGAGGAGGAGGAGGATGACTAGGGTGAGGAAATAGCGATCGACGGGTAGAAGGGGGAGGAAACAATGAGGAAGAAGAGGAGGAGGAGGAGGAGGAGGAGGAGGAGGAGGAGGAGGAGGAGGACGAGGGCACACGCCCCGCGGCCGCGCCGGCTCGATTCCCGCCCCAGCCTGGGCACCTCTCGGGCGGCGGCGGCGCGCGCACTCCGATCTTCGCGGGGGTCGCGAGTTCGTGGGGCGGGCGGCCTCCGGGAGTTCCGTTTGGGGGCAAGGAGCTGCGCGGACACAGTTCTGGGGGGATGGTTTTTTCCCTCCCCTTTTCTCGTCCTTCCTACGTGCTCTTTTCTCCTGCTCCTCCTCCCTCTTTCTCCTGCCCCTCCTCCTCCTTGTCCTCCTCCTTCTCCTCCTCCTCCTCCCTTCTCTTCCGCCTCTTCCTTCTCCGTCCTTCTCCTCTTTCTCCTCCTCATTCCTCTCCCTCCTCCCTTCTCTCTCCTCCTCCTCCTCCTCCTCCTCCTCCTCCTCCTCTTCTTCTTCTTCTTCTCATCATCGTGGCAGGTGATTGAAGCCACAACGGGAACGAGGCGAGATGAAGCGGGATGGAGACAGAGGCGACGAGGAACCCAAGAGACACCCCAGAGACCCCAGAACCAGAACAGGAACCCGCCAACGCACCCCCCCAAGAGGGGAGAAGCAAGGAGGAAGAAAGAAAGAGCAGGAAGAGAGGGAGGCCGCAGGGGGGGAGCGTAGGCAGGAACCCGACGACCCCGGGACAAAGGACCCCCAAAGGCCCAGCCGCGGAAACCCGGCCCCAAGGCCCCCAGAAATTCGAGCCGCGTCCAGCAGGCCACCAGCAACTACGCAGCTACATTCCCGGCTCAGTCAGACGGCTCGTACAAACGGACGGCTCGCAATCAGACGTCTTACAATCAGACGGCTCGAAGTCAGATGGCTCGCACCATTAACAAATTCAAATACTGGATACTCTGCTGGGTGTGTTGCCTTGGCCTCTACACAAGACAAAGCGTTATCAACCAAAACTCTCTTGTCAATTCACGAACGAGATGTAGACTGCTCAGCCATCGCAGCCCATCGTCGCGAAGTCAGCCGTGACCGGACCAAGGCACTCTGGGCGGCCTTGAGCCGGATCTGCTGTGCAGCATCTGCAGGCGACGCGGGGGAAGCAGTCCTGGCGTCGGCCAGAGCGGCGATGGCTTCGGACTCCAGCAGCTTGTGTCGCTCCAGCACCTCCTCGAAAATGTTGGCTGAGACCGCGCCCAGGTTGACAGGAAGTGCGGAGGCCGTAAACTCAGACAGCAGCATGACTTTTTCTTCGGCCCACCGGATGTGCCTGGCAGCGTTGTTCTCCACCTCGCTCGCAACATCCTGGACACAGACTGGATCCCTCTCTCCGTCTCCTGAGGCTTCGCTTGCAGGTCGAGGCCGAGGGGTGTGACCAGCGCTGCTCGGGCGGCCCGCATCTGCGCGCGGACCGGCGCCAGCACCTCCGCGAGGCTGAGCATCTCCACGAGAATCGGCACTAGCGCCTCCCAGATGATCTGCACCAGCACCTGCCGTATCGCAGCAGCCCTCTGCGGCAACCCTGATCGCCTCCACCTCAAGCGCCGCACTGTCGGAGCAGGAACTCGGTGCAGCAGAGGTGGCCGAGGATGCACGAGGCTCGCCGGATGGGCGCGGCGTGCCGCGCCTACGCCCCAGCGGAACGGCGTCCATCGCCTGCCCAGTCCGGGCAGCGGCAGCGGCAGCGCCGACGCCAGGGCCAGCACTCGCGCAGCTGGCGCCAGGTGCTCGGGCAGCGGGCGCCGCCTCCTCGCCAGCCCCTCTGTCATGGCCAGCACCTTCGCCAGTTCCCGGAGCCGCGGGCGACGCCTTCTCGAGCGGCAGCTGCGGGACCTGGGCCGAGACCGCCGCAGCACTCACCTCCTGCTCCGATGCGTCTGCCTCGCCCTGGCAAGGCACGTAGACAGGAGCCTCACGGCGAAGCGAACAACGGGTGGTGGCCGCCAGAGTCTGGCTCAGCGCCTCGCCGAGGCGCGATTGCTGGCAGCCTCTGTGTGGAAAGCCGGAAAAAACCTTCAGGATAGCCTGTATGGCCCGAGCCTGCGCCCGATGCTGCTGGGCCCGGCGCTCGGCCGCCGAGCGACGAGGCCGAGCCGGTCGGCCCCCGTCTGAGATCCATGGCGGCGAGGCGGTTCTCATGCCTGCGGTGGGGAAGGGGGCGAGAGGGGAAGCGGGCAGCGACCAGAAGTCGCCTGGCGCTGGCTCGCAGGCAGAACGCCTGGCCTGAGCCCGCGCTCTCTCCTCCTCCTCCTCTCCTCCTCCTCCCTCCTCCTCCCTCCTCCTCCTCCCCTCCTCCCTCCTCCTCCTCCTCCTCCTCCTCCTCCTCCTCCTCCTCCTCCCCTCCTCCTCATCTCCTCTCTTCTCCTCCTCCTCTCCTCCTCCTCCTCTCTCCCTCTCTCCTCCTCCTTTCTCCTCCTCCTCCTCTCCTCCTCCTCCTCCTCCTCCTCCTCTTTCCTCCCCCTCCTCCCTCCTCTCCTCCTTCCCCTCCTCCACCCTCATCCCTCGCCTCTGGGAGCTACGAGGCTGGCTGGCTCCATAGAACATCAACTTGCAGGGGTCTGCGCGGACTTGGGTCGGCCGTGGATCCCATCACGACCATGCGTCTCCCCTCCGCTTTTCCGTATGTCCGCGCGGATTTCTCGGGTCGGCGCTGGACCCCTCCCCAGGCAGTGCCTTGGGCGCCGCCCCCGGGGCGCTTGGCACGCCAAAGGAGAGGAGTCCAGCGCTGACCCAAGAAGTCCGCGAGGACCTTTGAAACATTGTGTTTATGCAGTCTCTTGCTACTCTGGTACAGTCGGCCGTCGGCAAGACTACCGATGGCGGAGCTGCACAACTGGGACTTCACAAACCTGGACGCTGTCGGAGCGAGTAGGAATGTCGTAGATGACCCGATCGGCTTCCGGATGAACATGGACGACAATGCCGCTAAGAGCAAGAGCAAGACCACGAACACAGAGTTGCTTGAGAAAAAGGCCTGGGAGCTGGCCATCGCCCCGATACAGTCCGTGGGCATGAACCTGTTCATGTTGTGGATGAGCGGATCCTCCCCGGGCATCTTCACCATCATGATTTTGGGCTACTGCGTGCAGAATATAGCCGGGCCCCCAGGCAGGCGAGGAGGAGGATGAGGAGGATGAGGAGGAGGAGGAGGAGGAGGAGGAGGAGGACGAGGAGGGGGAGGGGGAGGGGGAGGGGGAGGAGGAGGAGGAGGAGGAGGAGGAGGAGGAGGAGGAGGAGGAGGAGGAGGAGGAGGAGGAGGCCGGGGCTCCAGCCGTGGATCGGCTGGAGAGTGATCTCCATCGTGCGCCGGTCGATCGGGCTCGGTGCGTGCGAGCGGCGGGCCTCCGACCGACGGAGGGCCCCCTCGCTTAGGGACGCGCTGGGCCCGTGCTCGCGCCCATGCTGGAGGAGGAGGAGGAGGAGGAGGAGGAGGAGGAGGAGGAGGGGGGAGGGGGGAGGGGGGGAGAGGAGGGGAGGAGGAGGGAGGAGGAGGAGGAGGAGGAGGAGGAGGAGGAGGGGGATGAGAAGGAGGGGTGATGAGAAGGAGAGGGAGGAGGAGGGGGAGGAGGAGGAGGAGGAGGAGGAGGAGGAGCAGGAGCAGGAGGAGAAGGAGGGGGGGGCAAGGGGGAGGAAGAGGAGGAGGAGGAGGAGGAGCAGGAGGAGGGGGGGGGAAGGGTGAGAAAGAGGAGGAGGAGGCGAAGGAGGAGGAGGAGGAGGAGGAGCTCGCCGATCGGGATCGGGGTCCGTGCCTTGGATCCGCGGATGATCGCTCCTGGGGAGGGGGGAGAGGGGCCTCTAAGGTCGGGCAGTTCACCAAGATGAACACCGTGTTCTTGCCTTACAAGTCGATCAACACCACCCTGCAGAAGATGGCATACCTGGGCCTCTGCTTGGTCTCCCTCGCATATCTGCTGTACCATGCGTCCGGCATGGGCGTGCTCCCGACCTCCACAGGCGATTGGAGGGTCCCTCATCCGCATCCCTGCTCCTGCCCCTGCTACTGCTCGTCAGCCTCCTCCCAGCCTCGGAGGCGACTGGATCGCTTACATCCCCAACGACGAGATCGTCGAGAGGGCAACTGGAGTCATGAAGTGAGCGGCCCAGCATGCGACCTGCCAAGTCCCAACGCCTGCCCGCTCTTGTCTCGCTCGTGTTCCTTCTCAGCGTCGTCGGCTTTGTTGTCGTCCTCTCCCTCTCCTTCTCTGTTGGTCGTTCTGCTGATCGGCATGTACACCTTCGTCGGGCGTGTCCCTATACAGGAGGAAGATTCAAAAATAGTACAACATATCTGGGGACGATTTTCCACCGTTTTTGATTTGTTTGTTGAACATGTTTGGATTATGTGTTGCATTTATCTGCCAAAATTCGCCTGCAGGGGGACATGCCCGACCTAACTGTCCACCTCCCCCCCCCTGGGCCCAGGGTCGGCCTGGCCTGGGGCGGCGGAGCATGCATACAGTCAGCGCGCCTGCGCGCCTTTATCCAGGGTGCCCTTGTGTCCTGGCCTCTGCGGCCCGTCCTTTGCTGTTTCCACTGGTCGCCCGCCGCCCAAAAGAAGTTACCACTTCGGCCTCCAAACGTCTTGCATCCTTACCTCGAAGAAGAAGCCACGCCATAAGCATAAACTTTTGGCGCTCCGCGCGGATTTCTTGGATCCGCGCGCCCCCCCCCTCCCCCAGCGGCGCCTCCGGCGCCGCCCCTGGCGCGCTCCGCGCGCCAGGGAGGGGGGTCCAGCGCGGATCCGAGCAATCCGCGCGGAGCCCCGAGTTTTTCCGATGCTTAGGTCATTGTTCGTTCCCCTCGACCTGCAGATCTGGCTTCCTGAACAAAAAAAAAATTGGCATTGACATCACCTTGGCGGTATCTGCATCGGTGTTGTCTTGGCATCGCTCGGACGTGTGCATTTTTTCCTTCGGCGAGGACCATCGAGGAGCATCCTTGATCATTTCGCGAAAAAACCACGCACGAAACCGAAAAAAGCACAGGAAATGGACGTCCGAGCGATAGCCAGCTGTCGCCGTCATAGAGTGGGCCAGGGAGCCCCTGCGTGGCCGCGGCGCGCCGTGGTCCGAGGCGCCCAGCCTGGCCTCCTCCCGCCCCCTCCCTGTGGCACCACGGCGGCTGCCGCGCCGTGTTCCTCCTGCGGCGGGCCGCCCCCTCGCCACGGCTTCTCATCGGCGGCACCTCAACAGACTCAAACTATACAGCGGGGGCGCGTAGCAGGAAGCCATAGGCTTTTCCGTCCGGGCATCCTGGGTCTCTTCGCTCCTCGCGCTGCGCGGCGACTTCCCGCAGCCGTGTTGAAGGAGTTGCTGCGTTCAGGGTGCTCCGGATTTCCCCTGGGGTGTACCTCGCGCGCGGGTTCTCAGATTCGGGTTTCTTGCGAGGGTTTCTTGCGGCCGCGCCCGCACTGTATGTGTGCCTCGTCCCCCCAGGGGCGACGCGCTCACCGCGTCGTGGCGGGCGCCTTCTGACCACACCGCTCGGGAAACGATGTACTGCAAGATGGGTATGCTACATGTTCGGGTCGGACGCGCGCCTCCAAGGAGGACATATAGTACTAGTATGTCTTTGTGCCTCCCATCTCAGGGGCCCGCAGCAGGGTCCTCGGCGTCCTTCGCCGCGCTCTCGTGCGGCTCCTCGGCTTCCTCTGCTGCGGCCCAGCACGCGCAGTATCAAGTCGGGCCTGTCCCTGTACAGGGGGAATGATCGAAAATAGTAAAGTACTTTGGGGACGATGTTTGGAGTATGGTTTGCTATGTTTGAACATGTTTCGACTATTTTTCATTTGTTGTCCGAAATCCCCCCGTAGGGGGACACGCCCGACATAAGCGTAGCAATGTCGGTCTCCATATTTTCCTGGTCTCCCACTGCCTGCTAGCTTCTCTGGATGGTGGTTGGGGCACCTCTGGGAGCGCGCCTTCCATTCCTCGGATGGGGTCTACTTGATGATTCCCTCTCGGATGGCCTGCCTCCAAGTCTTGCGACGCACGCAACCTCGGTATTCATCAGGATTGCCGTTGCTAGTAGGCCACTACATATGTCTGGCTTTCGATGAGCTCCGCAGAGGCTTGTTATTCAGGGTTTATTTCCATCTTGTTCACGTCGGCGTGCATGGTGAGCTTAGCTGCAGCGCGCTGCAGGGATTCGTAGCATCTTCTGGTAGCTGTCGGGAGTGCGCATTGAGCTCGCGCTGTGTTGCAAACGACTTGGCGCCGCCTCCTGCTCCCTGGTGTTCAGCGTAGATCGGCCCTCATTGTCCGAAGCGGGTCTTGCTCCGACTGTTTTGTCTGCTCGGTTGGGTCTTCTGGCCGGCTCGATTGCCGCAGTATCAGCGGTCTCCCATTATTGTCCCATTGTTGCCATCGCCTGGTCGTCTGCCATTGTTTATGACTGAGCCCGTCTTCCTCACTGTCCCTGATGATGCTGGCGCTTCTGCGCGCTTGCGATTTCGCAGTAGCTGACGGTGCCGCCGTGTTCGCGTTGAGTGTTGTTTCGGAGTGTGTGTTCTTCACCCGACAGTTTAACTGTTTAATTTTAGCAAACAAGTGACCGTCTGCACACCCTGCTTACCGCGGTCGCCAGACCCCACAGGATCCCGAGAATCCCTCAGTATTCCGCCCCGCGTCCTCGACGAATGGCGACACCATACCGCGGTCGCTAGACCTCACCGGATCCTGGGAATCCCTGAGTGTCCCACCTCGCGTCTTCGAGGTGTGACGACACCGTGCATACCAGACTGCCCAGAGGGGGAGGCGTCACGGCGTCACGCCGTCCAGGCGTCACGACGCATGAGCAAAGAGGCGTGCATGATCGGCATCAAGCACAGAGCAAGTACTGAGGCATCTATGATACCAGACATACTTGACAGTGCGAGGCCACAACATAATGTAATCCTACATTCCGTAATACATTGATCGGATCATCAGAAGATTCATCCAATAGTAGAACAGATCATGGCAATCAGTGTCATAGCATAAGAAAGCATCACATCTTATGACTCAAAGTATACCAGATCGGGTCACAATAACATCGTAGCACATAAAGTTCTTCTAGGCGACACAACGTATTTGTTCTCATTCTGTCACCACTACGGCAGTGAAACAATTCTAGCAAATACAGTGATAGGCGAATGGTGTAGGAACCCCACAACATGGCATCGCATACCACACCCTTCTGAAAGCATCATGCCATAACAAGCATACCACACCATCACACAGCAGAGCACACCATAGCACAGTATGGCACACCCTATCATGCCATAACATAGCATCACACAACACATCCTACCATCGCATACCACATCGTACGGTGACAGATCGGGGCATACCACAGGTCAGCGCAACAGAACGTACCATACCCTAATGGTTTTTATGTTGGCAAGTAGTATAATGTAGCGTAATTTACGATGATACTAGCATGCAGTGGGATAGGAGTATCATGTCATTACAACAACTAATACAACACAGTGAGCACATCATAACGTATACAGCGTATCACAATCTAACAGCATAGCAGGGCATCCCATGACAGGACAGAGAGTACCGGAACATGGCTTCACATAACATAGTGTACCATACCGTCACACATCATATTGAGACAGCACGGGGCAATACAGAGTTTAAGTCAAATTCAATGGAGCATGCCACAACATACGTCTTGTACTATTGCTACCACTACTGCAACGTGTATACCATACTCCATAAGGAAACGCAACACATAACATAGCACACCACACCACACAACAGCAGCGCATCGCGTGTACTATAGCAGAACGCACAAGAGAGTTGCACACACATTTTCCACCCTATCTTTAAATAGCCGTAATATAGGCATCATACCTGTCAATAGCATTTCATCGCACATGATAGCATAGAGCGAAGCACACATAATACATCATACATGTATGATATTCAAACTTCAATACCTATTCCACCACCCTTCGGGTGATAAGAAGGTTGTGGAGGGGAAGCATACGATGGTTACTGCGACGAGACAACATCGTGACACCGTGTGGACAAATAAATGCCTCCATCGGGACACCCTCGGGACACCATAGGAACACCATCGGAACACCATCCGGACACCAGTATTGTCCATCCGGTTACTCTTTGTCTATCGATCTCATCGTCGGCCTCTTTACAGGTTTCGCCATCGATCTCATTATCGGTCTCACTATCGTTCTCACTTTCGATCTCACTATCGGCCTCCACGGGCCACCACGGGACAACGCCTGACACCGCGCCACGGGACACCACCGGACACCGCACCGATCTCATTATCTATCGACCTCACCGTCGATCTCACTGACGATCTCGCTATCGATATCACTCTCGATGTCACTACTGGTCTCACTATCGATCTCATTCAATCGATCTCACAATCGATCTCACTATCAACCTTCACGAGCCACCACGGGACACCACAGGACACCACGGAACACCGGCGGGACCTCCCCGGGCCACCGTTGGCCAACCATGGGGAGGAGAGACATTGAGCTTGGGTTCGCCTTAGCCAGGCCAGGATCATTCTTGTCAACCGCCCACGCAGCTTCGCCTCACCCGCGCGCAAGACACGAAACCGAAACCGGTTTCCCCGTGGGGGGCTCTCCGTTTGCTGCGATCTCACCACCCAATTTCCGACCATGGCATTGTGATGAGAGTGACGCCCTATCAAACGCAGCATGCGAGCCGACGTAAGGCTGGCCACAGGGATGAAACATACATGAAGAGACCAGAGCACGACCGAAAACAACGTGATAGAGTAGAATGCAACAGCGATCGAGTACATCGTATTTTTCCACGCGACATGCACGCCGAACTCAGGCTGGCCGCAGGAACAAACAGTACCAGACTCGGGAACAAAAACGCCGAAGGTTTCGGTATGGATCGCTCGAAGCAAAGCACTTTGTTTTCGTTGACGGTGCCGTTGGTCTTGGTTATTGTCTCCTCTTTGAGGCTTGCGCCACTCCGCCCAATTTTCAACGTAATGAGATCGCGACGGCGGCGGCGCAGAGACTAGCACATATTGTCGAGTGTGCGAGTGATGTGGGAAAGCCGCAGTGCTGCAGTCGGCTATGATTAAGTTGGGGCACTGGCGTCACTCCATATGCGTGGTCCCAGCAGGCTGCGCCTTAAGAGCAACTTATCATCAGCATCAAATTGGCTGCGCGATTCCCTTTAATCTGGTTGTTTCCGGCTTAATCCTGGACTCAGTAGGCTGTGCTGATCAGGCTTGGTTGCCGGCTAATCAATCTTAACGGCCGGCAGATCAGGCTTCGTCGTGTTTGGGAAAGACCTCCAAAAAGGTGCCTTCTAACATGTACCCACTCTTCCCCAGTATTTTCCTTTTTGGGGGAACCCAAAAGGTGCTGATACCGCTACTCCCCAGACCTCTCCCGGGGTGCGTTCCGACCAGGATTTCGAGGCGAATCCATCCAGCGGTAGAGACGAGGGCCGTCCTGGAGACCCTCAAAGGGGAAAACGAGGGGAGGGTAGAGGTATAGGTACCTTTCCCTCATCTGATCCTTCTCGTTCTCTTCCTCCTCCCAAAGATCGGTGTGCGTCTCGCCGCAAGCTGCGAGGCTCTCTTAGGCAGTGCGCTCTCTTCCTGCGTTTCCGCTGGTCTCGCACCCCCCCCTGACGCGATGCCGCGCCGACTGTTTGCTTGCCTGCGCTGCTAATCGCATTGCGTAGCTGCGGACGCCAATGCTTGGCTGCGGCGGAAGACTGCGTGTTGCGATAAGGCGGACAAAAAAGATCAGGTTCAGCGTGCCGTCGGTAACCCCCCTCTTCGTGGAGGGGAAAATAGGTATTGCATCCATCGTTGGAAGTCACGTCATGCGTTTCACGCGATGGCGACCGAGAGGAACATTCTCTCGTTACTTACAGATGCATATTCACTAGGCATCCACTCATAGGTTTGCCAGCATCGGCCCGAAGCAGGGGGGTCCTGCGATGTTTGTGTGCAACTTTGGTGGTGGGATCCATGTCTGGTTCAACATGGGCGTTGTAACACATGCGTTGCAAGCTATGCCGTGCAGCAGATGTGGTGCAAGCCATGTGGTGCCATCAATGGGGTGTGAGATATGCGATGCAAATTGTGAGTCACAGCCTGTGCGTTGCAACATCTGTGGCGGCAGCCGAGCCCCCCTCCCTCCAGGAAGCCGCGCAGAGCAGTTCCTCCTCTGGATCCCTCCTGGTGTCCATCCTGTTCGGTTTTTGTCGAGCCATGCCTGGCAGTGGCGGCGAGGAGCTTTGCAGAGGCCGGAGAAGCCACGATCCTTGCGAAGACCTCGATCCTCGCCCGCCGCTCCTCGCGCGTTCTCCTCCGGATGCGGGCGGCCCACGGAGAGAGCCGGAGAGAGCCACCCTGGCTGGTCGCGCGGCTCGCCAGGCGGAGGAGCTGCAGATGGCCACGCGGGCGGCTATGGTCCATCTGGCACCGCTGGCGGCGGGGTGGTGGAGGAGGAGGAGGAGGAGGAGGAGGAGGAGGCGGAGGAGGAGGAGGAGGAGGAGGAAGAATCAGAAGAAGAGGAGGAGGAGGAGGAGGAGGAGGAGGAGGAAGGAGGAGGAGGGCGAGGAGGGGGAGGAGGAGGAGGAGGAAGGGGGAGGGGAGGGGGGGTGGGAGGGAGGGCAGCCCGCAGTCGCCATGAGGCAAGCGGGTCCAGAGGGAGACGTGCCCCGAGGTTTGGTGCAGTTTCCGGGCAGCCCGGGGCCCTCCCTCGTGGCCCTCGTCGCTGCCCTCTGTCGCGCGGCGCGTGCCCCGGCGGGGCAGGCCCCGGCGGCGAGGCGGTGGCCGCCACGGCCCCGGACCAGGCGCAGCCCGGCTGGGCGGGCAGCCGAGATGCCGCGAGGATGGGCGCGGCGGGCTCGGCGGCGGCGGCGACGGGGAGGGGGGCACAGGGAGACGACGATCGGGGCCCCCCAAGCGGTGTGACGGCCGTCGAGGGGATGTTCGAGGTTCGAGGTTTTGGAGCGTTCTCGGCGGCTCTTGGGCGGTTTTTCTGCTGCGGGATGCGTTCCCACAGCTGCGCCTCGTCGAGGGCGTTCCAGGGGTGCCCCGATCGTCCCGATCGGCCTACTGAGGCTCGAGTGATGACCCGGAAACCATCATGCGTCGGGGGCCCCCAAACGGTGTGGTGACCATGCCGGGTGGTGACTCAGTGGGGATTTGGAGTCGTTTCGCGGCTTTGGGACTTGAGTTCTTCTCCGAGGATGGCTCGAGCGACTGGGGCCTTCGAGGTCCCATAACCATGCGTTGACGGACCGTGCGGTGAGGTCGTTGGGGATTCCGAGGTCACCGTGCGGTCCGTCACCACACGGTCTTGGGTACCCGATGACGACGGCGAGGGCGGCGCGGACTACAGGCAGCAATCGGACCACATTGTTGCCGCCCTCAGCGCTTTCGGTAGCCAGTCTCCTACATGTTCTGTGTCCTCCTCACAGGTTTTGGTGTTGGGTAGGGTCGTGCTTCCCCTCTTTCATTGGCTTCTCCTTATTTGCTCCGTGCCCCCGCGTGCTCCTCGTCTTGCTCCATTTCTGTTCAGCCACCCATGCGTCCGCGCATGCTTGCAGTTTTTTTTGTTCTTGTCCACCACGCCCCAGTCTGTGCCATGATCATGCTGCTGCCTACCTTAATGCCGCCACGATCCCTGCGGGTCCCAGTCTGCCTAGCTGGCAGAGGCACGACGAGCATCGAGGTCCGCGGACGACCTGCATGCACCGCTCCGCGCTGGGCGTCCGCCGAGGCGTCGTCGATCCCTTGCTTTAAGTCGGGCCTGTCCCCCTACAGTGGGATTTTCGACGAAAAATAAAACATACCCCAAAAATAGTAAAAAAATAATCCAAAAATAGTATGGGGACTATTTTTTGAGTATTTTTTGACCCTTTGGGGTATTTTTTGAGTATTTTTTATTTTTCGTCGAAAATCCTCCTGTAGGGGGACAGGCCCGACATAACCCTTGCTCCAGGAGAACGGTGCAGTTCGTGCTCTGTCGGCCCTCGGGGCTGCAGGAGTAAACAGTCGGCCCGGAGGAGCAGGTCTGCCCTGCCAAACCGAGGGCACCTGTTGTGTCCTGTGCCTCGCGACCCCTGCCTCGGAGGGGGGAAAGGTACCCATACCTCTACCCTCCCCCCGTGTTCCCCTCTCTGGGCCTGCTGGGAGGCTCTCGTCGCCACCGCTGGGCTCGCTCCGAAATCCTGGTCAGAGCGCACCCCGGGAGAGGTCCGAGGAGTAGCGGTACCGGTATCCTTTGGTCTGCCCAGTGCCTCCTGCATTCTTGTGGCCCTCAGAAGGGGCTTGTGTCCTCCCGCGTGTCCTGTCCAATCGAGTCCGACTGTATCTGTATGAACCGTACCGCGCTGGAGCGGGGCCCGAGGGGGGAGTCCGAACATGGTGCGGTGTGCGGGCACCGTTGCCATACGAGGGCTGAGGGCGAGGGCGAGGATCGGGGACGAGCACGGCGAGGGTCGGGCATCGAGGGCGACGACGACGGCCAGGGTCGAGGACGAGGGTCGATGACGAGGACGGCGAGGGTCGAGGATCGAGGGGTGGCGAGGATCGACGACGGCGAGGGTCGAGTGTCGAGTGTCGAGTGTCGAGGAGGATCGAGGACGGAGAGGCCGCCACACACGCACCGTGCTGCAGGGCCCGAAGCCGCCCCGCACCGAGGGGGGAGAGAGGGCCTGCTGCAGTGCGCCCTGCCCTGCCCGGGCCTGCCTCGCACGGCGGCCGTGCCTTCGGCCGGGCCTTTTTTTTTTTTCTCTCTCTCTCTCTCTATCTCTCTCGCTCTCAGGCGATCGCAAGCATGGATCAAGAGGGCGTGGATTGTCAAGCAGTAGCGAAGCGTCCCGGCTCGCCTATAGCTCTACCAAACAATGTTCTAAGAATCTTTCGTGGTTCCCACGGACTGTTCTTAGAACATTTCTGGCGGAGCCTGTCTTGTTTTAGCACGTCGGGTCTATGATCTAAGAAGATTATTTTGATCCTAAGAACATCTTTGGGTTCTAAGAACATAAAGTGGTATGACTGTAGGAATGCCGGGACGGTCGGTCCCTGCTCAAAGCATGGATCAAGAGGGCGTGGATTCGCGACGGGTCCCATTTCCATGGGACATCGCGGATTTCCGCCGCATTTTGGGGGCGGCACCGGCCGCATTTTGGGGAGGGCGCCTCCCCCGGTCCATGGGTTTGGCGACCGCGCGCCGAATCCATGGATCGCTGATCCATGTTTGCGCGCCCCTGACTCTCTGCAGGGGGAATAATCGTATACCAGGGACAACACATGCCGTCGTCTCTTGAGCCGCACAGGCTCTACAAGGCAGCCGTGTTCACGCTTGCTGCATTCCTCCCCGGCACTTTCAGGAGGGAGGAAGTCAACCTCGAGTCGTTGGTCTTCCTGAGCCTCTGCCCGCAGCGTCTCGGTCACGTGGCGATCAAGAAGATGCTTCACCCGGTAACGCTGGAGCTTTATTGCCTCGTGGAGTTGCCAGGCGGGGGGGGGTGTCGGTAGCAAATCATGGGAGCCTCGTATCTCCATCTTACTTTTTGTGTCTCAGCGTGCTCTAGCGTCTGGTAATCGATGAGGAGGCGTCGTTTTAGCGTCGATGAGCTTCGAACTCGCATCGAACAGCGTCGACCAGCGTCGATGAGTGCCGGCAAGATGGCATGGGAGGCCCCCGCGAGTTGCCGCAGAGGGGGGGGGGCATGTGCTCGAATACCCACGGGGATGATTGAGAAGGGGGCGGCGCACTTTCTGCGTCGGCGGCTAGGCAGGGCAGCTGCGGCGGCGGAGGGCTACCTAGACGGGGGTTGCCCCTGTGCCACCGTGCAGGAGGGAGGGGAAAGGCAGAGGAGGTGGCCGCACAGGAGAGCGCAGCAGCAGCACAGGAGAGAGAGAGAGAGAGAGAGAGAAAGAGAGAGAGAGAGAGAGAGAAAGAGAGAGAGAGAGAGAGCAGCAGCAGCAACACCCCTGTGGGAGGGAAGGGGGCGGCGCACACGGGAGAGTAGCACAGGAGGGAAGGGTGGGGTATAGCCAAGACCCCAGGTAAGGGGACCTGGTTAGTGGTAGGGCCCCGGGGCTCGTAAATTTACCAGAGTCGCTAAACCAAGTCTGCCGTAACTGGTGTTTGTTCGGGTGACGGCAGTTCCGGTCAGTGGAACGCGGCGGGGGGGGGCGTCCCCCAGTACACGTCATTAAACCAGGTGCCACTCGACCCAGTTCTGCCAACGCCCGGAAAAGGGGCGGCGCGCAGGACAGCAGCAGCAGCAGCAGCAGCAGCAGCAGCAGCAGCAGCAGCAGCAGCAGCAGCAGCAGCAGCAGCAGCAGCACGCACACCCACTCGAGCTCTCGCGCGCGAGCGGGGGGGGTGCCCGATGGGGCCGCCGCCGTCCCCCCCCCCCAGCAGGCGCAGAGCGGCAGCGAGCCGCCCTGCGTGCCTCGCTGCAGGACTGGCTGCTCCACTGGTGCTCCCGGGAGAGGGGGGGGCCACCGCCCACCAAGCCACCCCAACCCAACCCGAAGGCCCCGATCTGCCCTCTGTTTCCAGTGAGGGGGGGGGTCGGGGAACATGCAAAACAACACATATGGGGCCCGTGCCCCCCCAACCCGAAATTCGGGTCTTCGGGTTGGGTTGGGGTGGTCTGGTAGGTAGTCAGGGGGGGGGAGGGCCACGGACGCGTTGAGGCTTCGCCTCCTCGGCTGGTATGAGAAGTTGAGGACGGGCATGCGTCGGCC